CGATGGAGCCACGTGTGCACAAGAAAATGTGCTGCCAACACGCTCCACCGGTGCTTCCAGTGTGGAACTGGGCTCAGCTTTCCATTTTTTTACCTGGTGGGAAGCCCAAGGAGCAGTTTGTACGTGTCTCTACCTTTAAGGGGCTCTGCATTTCAGAGAGGAAAAACCCAAACCAAAACCACCAAAAAAATCAAACGGCTTTTCCATGACAAATTCTCCCTCTGATGGAGTGCACTTGCTGCAACTGTAATTCCAACTGTTCATTCTCCCTGCTGGGGTGGCATCTCCGAGGGACACGAGGCAACCACACCAGCTCCCAGGTCCTTCCAGGGAATCTCACATGGAGTCACTGCTGTCACCCGGCCACCTCACAGGACATGCAGGCACTGGGAGCTGTCACAAACAAAGCCATCGACTCTGTTGACAGGAGAGGGTTGAGACGAGTGCCAGGAGGGCTCCATTTACACAACAGCCAGCTGGAAGAGCAGCACAAAGCTCGGCTGGTGACGCAAAACAAAGCTCCGGACCGTGGTGATGGTCTTCAAATGCTTTGCAGGGAAGCTGTTCCTAGTTGCAGCTGCATCAGTGATGCTGCTGTAACCAGATCCTCCCAGCTCAGTCGAGGATTTTAAAGAACACAGACCCAGGCTGGAGTGCAGAGCAGGTATAACCCTCCCCTCAGCAGGCCAGAGGGGCTGTGACGAAGGATCAGCACCAGCCTTGCATCTGCAGAACAGACACACATTTGTTCCAGCCCAGTGTCCTGCCATGAGCGACAGCGTGAGGAGCACCCAGGGGGAGACATGGCTGCACTGCCCTGCGTGCTGCCCTTCCCAGGGGCCAGACAGCTGAGCACAAGGGGACTTGAGCTGTTCTCCATGACCCTCGGCCTTTGGGATACACACTGCAAAAAACAATTTAAATTACTCCTGGGAGGGTGTAGCTGAGAGCCTGGCTATCTCCGGACAACTCAGCCAGCCCCACAGTTAAAACATTTGGATGTTTCTTATCAGTGCTTGGAGAGGATTAAAGTGCCAGGCCATTTATTAGCGAGGGAGCAGGTTATAAACCTATCTCAGCTTGAGCACCACGTTCATGTCAGGAAAAGCAAGGCAAGAACAGGACAGATCAAAAGAGAGCCATTAAAGGCGTGAGAAAATGGGGCTGCCATATAAGGAGCTAATAAAGTTAGCAGCTCTCCAGTTTGAAGGAAAAAAAAAAGTGCAGGAGAAGCGGAAAACATCCTTGGGGTCCACACAGCAGCCTCTCTTTGAGGAGGATAAACCAATAAATAAAAGTGGGCAGACACAATGCTTCAAAAGGCAGGTTTATCCATTTTGAACACGGCGCCTTTCCCGAGCGGCGGAGCTGCCACGCATCGCTGAGACTGCTCACCAAACATTTCAAACAGCAAAGATTAGATACTGAACAAGGACAGCAACCAGGACTTGTTGGCTCAGACTACAACTTCCTACCCTCAGGTCTGGGTCAGCAACATCTCTGTGTGGTGTGCTGGGAAAGGGGGACATTACACCTCTCCCTGGCTACGTCAGCTGGAATTCACGGGGATCTGGGCAGGAACACGAGGGTTCTCCCCACCACCAGTGCACAGCCAGTTCCTTTGCTTTCTGTACAAAACCAGGAGGTTTCCCAGCAAAGAGCCCCAAGAAACACTCAGTGTTCCTTTCTTTGAGCCAGCCAGCTCCAGCCACCATCTTGTCAGGATAAAATGTATTTACATGTCTTCCTTGCTTATTGATAGTATTTATTAAAAGAACACTATGACAGCTGAATATCAAATTCCCAGCTAGGCTTTTATCTCCTTTTTAAGCCAGCCTGAATTATTGGCCTAATTTTATAGCTTACCCATTCTGCTTTATGCTCGTTTTCTCCAAGAAAGAATTGGTGCTGTTTGATATTTAGGCCCATTTGTTGCTAAGACAGAGGCTATGGGCTTAGGGGCTGAAAATACTTGGAGCACAGAGCCGGGTTCTGGGGCCTTAATCAACACAAAGCACAGGATTTATATTAATAAACTCTTGATTTCGGTTCTTTTTGAGGGTTAGTGCTCCAAATCTTCCTGATGAGATGACTCAGTGCAGAAAATTCCCTTCACGTTTTTGAAATGCAACATTTAGTAATTTATTTTCTGTTGCTCTTCCCTGTGGTGTTCTTACCCACAGCACCAGGGAGAGGAGCTGCCACAAAATGCCACCATTTTAGTCAGTGTCTTAACAGCAGCCACATCCCACAGCCCAGTATACAGGGGGCCCTGGACCTCAGTTGATACTGAACACACTTTTATGTCTATATAAAAGCACATTTCTGTTTTTAAAATTCCTTCTACAAAGAACCAGAGGTTTCTTCAGCAGAACCCAGAGTGATGGTTAAGCCACACAACCAAAGCTTACATGCCAACATAGGACTGCAAAAGAGTTTACTCTTGCTCATGGTGTGGTAGATATATTAGAAAGAACACCCTTTTTTAGCCTGTTGTTGGGGAAAAAGAAATCACAGGAATATTACAAGAATCACAGGAATACCACAGTGCCAACTTCTGCCTGACTTCCCCTTGCCCCCAGACTCCTGTACAACTACATGCTAGAGAGCTGTGTCTGCTCACTTCACAAGGATTCTCCCCAAGCACAGGGCTTTCATCACTAGACAGGACTAAAGCCTTCCAGGCTGCAAAAGATTGCATTTTAAGGGAAAACCAAAGATAACAAAAATAAAAAAAGACAGTTCCATGTGATTTGATACCCAAATAGAACAACTGTAAAGGATATAGGTGCCCTAGGACTGGTCACTGAATCACTGAATCCTATACTTTGCCATTTTTAACACCTAATTGGTATATTAACTCTATACCCAGATGTGATGTTTACCTGTGTGCAATGCCCAAGAGAAAAAAAAATCTCAGAAGTTACACTGGAAATGTTACAGGACAAGGCTTTAGCACAAGCCCCACAGTCCAAACCTGCAAGCTACAGGCTGCTCTTCCCACATTCCGCATTGGATTGAGCAGCACACCCAGCACAAAATAAACTCCGAGCCACCACTATCTGAGCTTTGGTTTCATCAAACACCATTTTGATACCACAGCAACGTGAGGGTGTTTAAATGAAGAGGAGTGAGCCCATGTCTGTGGAATTACCACTCCTTCACTCCAGAGAAAGCACAAAGAGAAATATTTGTGCATCAACACCTGCTGCGTTCTAAAGCCTCTCCTCCAACACAGCATGGGAGAAGTTCCTCATCTGCCTTTGGCTTTTATTTTCACCTCTGCAGATCTCACTGTGCAGCTTTTTAACTCCTTGGGCTAAGAGCAAAGCTTGAAAGACTGTGGTTTTCTCCTGAACAGAGGAGGAGTGGAGGTTTGTATCGCTTTTTGGCACTGGAAATTCAGGTTTTGTTTAGCTTGGAAATATCATGGATGTAGCTCGACTTCAGGGTGGTAAAAGTTCAGCGCTCACAAGGCAATTCTCGGTCGTTTATCCTAAACTGCCAAAGGAAAGTAATTTAGAGTCCCACAGGGTGTGCCAGCCTGAAAAATGTGGAATCATCCCAAGAGGCAGCTTCTTGCTCCTCCGAACCTCTCTGCCAGCAAAGGCCTATGAAGAGTACAAGGTGTATCTCCAAACCAACACAGCCCTAACGAGGGAATAAAATCCAAATCCCTGTCCACACTGCCTTATTCCAAACAAGGCTCTAGGCACACTTTTCACACATCTACCACAGGGAGCAGGGCATGAAATCTGGCCTGGCCACTTCATCCCCACCCTGTGCTTAATTTCGGCTAAAAACAAAAATAAAGCCGTAGCTGTGCTAGAAATCCCTGCAGCAACCAGTCAGTGAAATAATTTCTCCTAAGGGGTTTCTCCAGGGCCGGGTCAGCCAGCGGCATCCATGGAATCCTGATGCGATATCCTCATTAAGAGTGGCTAACGACCCCCAGCACTCCCTGTGCACTAATGACTGCGGGAAGCTGCGCCTCCAAGCCATGTGTGACCTGGCAGAGACCAGCACCAGGTCTCTGGTTATTACCTTTGCAACACAACAAAAGGAAGGACACCCAAGTAAGGAAGCGTTTCCCTTCTTCCTGGCGAGTGAGCAGGACTCTGAGGAATGGAGTAATGAACCAGCTGCATCTCACAGGAGCAAGTTCACAGAGAAAAAAAATGTAATTCAAGGGGACCCTTGATCTTCATCAACACCATTTAAGATGTTCAACACTCCCTCTGACTTTCACTGCCTTTGCCTGAGCAAAATTAGGAGGAATAGACTATCCCACATAGGTCTGTGGGCTTGGAGGGAAAGGGGCCTCACAGTTTTGCTCCCTGGAGGCACCCGCTCTCCCCACCCCTTTTGTGTGTATTTTTTTTAACGTGCCACACATCAGCACAATGCTGACAAGGGCTTTGTATGTTTTCTGCCTATGCAGCAGTTCAAGACACACAACTCTGGATTTTTTGAAAGGGAAAGGGGGAGGGAGCTGCCCTTTGCTGTACTGTTTAATTGCACTGCTTGCTCTTCTGCATGACCACAGGGAAGGGAAAAAGCACCAAGGTTTAAAAACAGAACCATTTTTAGTAGCCAAAAGGGTCAAACTCAGTCTTCTCACGAGATACAGTGGAGCTCACAATAAAATCTACCAGAGACAAGAAAAAAATTATAAATCACCAGGGTTTCTTCTCTGGATTTGGATGTGACCCCAGAAAAACAGCTCATCCATCCTCGCTTGCTGCTGTTACCGTCTCCACATTTGCACACCTGCCAATGCAGATTCCAGCACTGAGAAAAAAAAAGGAGGGAAAGGTCTGGAAAGCTGGACTGTCGGTTTTTCCACCTGCCAGGAGCAGCTCAACGAAGCCCGGGTGGCTGAGCTCCAAGGAGCAGCGAGCAGAGCACGTTACCAGCCTTCTGGAGTTCCCATCTCACACGCACATGCGTGATTCCGACAGCGCTGGCAAACAGCTTCCTTCAAAAATAAGGATGACTAATCCACAGCAGCGCCGCTTTATTTATTTATTTTAAAGGCCACAAGGCAGAGCTTTTTCCAGAAGCATCAGCCTTTGTGAACCAGCAAGCAGTGGGAAAGGGAAGCCCTGGGACCCACTCATGCTCTGCCGGCAGAGGTAATCACAGGAACACTGTGGGTTTGTGTGGCCCGTGTGTGACACACGCAGACGTGGCTGGAGCCTCGTCATGGATCCCTCATGCTTCTGGCAAGGCCAGATCCCGCTGCCTGGGTGACTCCCGGATCCCTGCATGGTTTCTAGGGATCTGCTGTGGAGAGGGGCTACATAAACAATACATTGTTTCCCTTGGAAAAACAAACAAACAAACCAGAGGAAAAAAATAAGGCATGAAACAGCTTTAACCCATAAGTGCAGCAACCCCCTGGGCGCTGGAAAAAAACAGGATGCAGGGATGTGGGACCAAAGCAGAGCACCTGAATCGCTCGGTGGGCCCAGTCCCCCCAGCAAGGTCACTCTGGCTCGCAGGGACACACATCAGTACTCCAGTGCAAGGCTGTGCTGGAACTGCAATGGATGCAGCGCTGCAGGAGGTCACTTAGGGACTGCAAAAAGGGAATGGATTAAAAAAAAAAAAAATTCAAAAAATCCATCAGCAGATGTTTACTGACATGCAGCAAATCCATAGCTCGGCTCTGGAAAGCTGCATGGCTGGGGGGATAACAGCCCAGTTCCCAGGACGCAGCAAACACTCTGCATCTACAGATTTAGGTTACAGCTTTTAGCCAGCCCCACACCCCAACCCCACCCCACCCCACTCACCACCCCCCACAAAAAAAAGAAAAAAAAAAAAAAAAAAAAAAAAAAAACCAAACCCAAACCAAATTTGTCATCTTTTTAAGCACTCAGAAATTGAGGTTTGCCACCGAGGTGATTTTGGGTGGTGGCACCATTAAATACTTACCCACCTCACAGCCAAGGGCTGCACAATCTGAAATTTGTGAGTGTTTGCAAATGGTTTGGAAAGCTTTCCAAGGAAGGTGCTGTACGATTGTAAATCCTTCCCGTTATTAATAAAAGGGAGCTATTGTTCCAGCTCTAATCAAGCCTTGTCTCCAGCTGGGCAATTTTAAAATGCAATTCAAAACACACACAGGAAAAAAAAAAAGATCATGAGGAAGCTTCGGGAAAAAAAAAAACCAAAACAAAACAACAAAACCAAAACAAAACAGTGAAGGAGAAATGGGAGGGGGGAAGGAAAATAAAAAATAATACTCCTTCTATTTAAAATGAATTCCGAGCAGGAGCACGCTGGGGCGGGGAGGGGAATCCCCTCTCCCACCGCCTGGGAAAGGTCACTTATGCCATCGGTGCCATGGCCACGCCGGAATAGAGCTGCGGCGCTGCCAGCCCTGCCTCATCCATCTCCATCAGCGACAGCTCTGCTTTCCATTTATTTAGAGGGAAGAAAAGGAAAAAAAAAAAAAAAGGAAAAAAAAAAAAAGCCAAACCAAAAAAACCCACAAACCCCTCCAAGTTGCAAACACCTCCCAGCGCTCTGTTTTCAAGGCTGGGGAATGGAGCAAGGGGGAGCGGCTTGGAATGAGGCTCCCAGCCAGGGAGAGGTGGCGCATCCTCCGCATCCTCCTCCTCCTGCCCGGCGCTGCGGCAAAGGCGCCGCAGTGGGGGCTCCCCGCCCCCGTGGAAACTTCTGGAACAAGCAGCCAAGCTGGAGAGAGGAGAGAAACCTTTATACCCGCAGAGGGGAGAGGAAAAAAAACCCCAAACCCATGTAATAAAACGGAGAGGATTGCACAAGGCCCGGGAAAAATAAGAGATCTCTGTAAAAGTGAAGCCCCCGAGCGGCTCCGGCAGCCCCGGCTCGGGGGGTGGTGCAGCCGCCTCGGCTCGAAACAAAACGCCCCAACAAAGCGTATTTAAAAACAAAAAGAGAGGAAAAAAATGGTGGTGTTTGTAGCGCGAGATGGTGGGATAAAGGAGCTGATCCCTCCTCCTGGATCTACAGCAAAGCCGGCCATTGCAGTTCCATTTATCCTTTTTTTTTGTGCAATGAATTGTCTGATCCGGACTGTTGGGTGGCATTTGCAGCTTCACTTACTGCGGTTTGGTTCTGTTGTGCTTTTTTTCCTTTTTGTTTCTTTTTCATTGTTTGTTTTGGTTTTGGGTTTTTTTTCTGGGTGTATTTTTTTCCTCTTTTTCATTAAAAAATAATCCTTCCCAAATCTCCCAAGGAAAATCTACATCTCTGTGGAACAAATAAAACATTCAGGCACAAACTTCCATCATGGACTGTAAAAAAAGAGATGGGTTGGTTTTTGTTATTTTTTCCTTTTTTTATTTTTGATGGCATTTTTTTCTCCTGCTTTTAGGACACATTGTAGTAGGAAACCAATGGAGGAAAACAAAGGTAATATATATATATCTATAAAATCAAAGATATATTATTAGGCCAAAGTTATAGTGATTATATATAATTAAATTATAGTTTTTAGGTGTGTGGGCTTATTTTATATTTTAAATAGTCCCTGGGAAAAGGTCATTTATTGAAAAATTTGAAATATATAACAGTATTTACATATTTATATTTAATAAATATATGCAAGTATTTCTGTATCCGTAGAAATAAAAAAGCATCTGTATGGGCCTAAATCTGCAATTCTATGGGAAAAAAGCATTATTTTTAGATACGCAGCTTTTAAGAATTAAGAGGCAATGTTATAGCCTGTAACAACATTCTGATGCAGGAAAAAAGGGTAAGGCAACATTAAAAGAATATTTAAAACAACAAAAAAACCCCAAAACAAAACAAAAAAAAAGCATAGTACCTTGGCTACAGCCTCCAACAACGAGCGTGTGGATGTTACAGGATTTGTTTTTGGTTTTTTTTAACGGTATTACCACGTCTGATCACACCAATATATGATTTTAATTAAGCGAATGGCGGGTGAGCTGTCGTGGGGAGCAGGCAAGCAGCGATGGCTTCTTCCCATACCACTACGGCTCCGATGATAAATCAATCCTCGTGCGTTTGGGACTTTTTTATTTTTGTGTTGGTTTTTTTTTTTTTCCTTTAAGTACTTTTGGGGATTTTCCATGCCGTGAAGAGACCGGGAGATGTCGGCTTCAACCCCTGCGAAGGAGAAAAGCGGTGGAAAAGCAAAGAATTAGGCATAAAACTACCCACCTTGGGGGTGCGTGTGGTGATGATGAAGGGAGGGGTGGGGGGCATGTGGAAAGCGCAATTCAGGGCCAAAACCCCTCAGCTGTGAGGGAAAAAAATAACATTTCAGGGGTATAACTGGGGGAGTGGGGGAGCTGAGGTGAAGGGAGAAACCGGAGACTCCGCCATGGCTGAAAGAAAATGCGCATTTCTGGCCATTTTCACATCCTTTCGCAAAGGCGGCGTGGAGAAAAGGGCAGGAGGGAGGGGGAATAAGAAGAAGGTCAGGTTTCACCCGCAGCGCTTTCGCCCCCCGCCCGGAGGGGATTCCCACAGGATCAGAGCCCTTCGCTGCGCTCATGCCGCTCCTCGCCCGTCCTTCCCCCCGCTCTCCGCCCGCCGCCATTTTGTCGCCTCAGAGCCGCTCCCGCGGCCCCGCCGGGCGGCCATTTTGTGAAGCGAGCGCGGGGGGGCCGCGCCTGAGGGGCAGCCCCGGCCGGAGCCACCTTTTGTCGCCCCAAACCCTCCTTTTCCTCCTCATTCTGTCTTTTTTCTTCAGGAGTTTGTCTTTTTCCTCACGAAACACTTCGTGCTTAACTTCCCGCCTAGAGCCTCATTGCTTCAGCAAACAAACAAAAAACTACCATACTCAGAGGAAGCAATCCAATAAATGAGATTAAAGCGTATTCCCCAGTTTGGCTGTGAGGAAAAGTTTAGCAGCACGGAGAATTAAGGTATATATTATTATATACATATTTATTCCCCATCCTTCTCCACTTTTTCCCCCCCAGTGATAAATCCCTGAGGTCAATAATCCACCTTGACAAAGAGGATAACCTCTTCAAAAAAATATCCGTGTTTTTATTTCAATAAAACTCCTCACTCACGCTGCTTTATGGGACATTCTATCAAAATAAAGATGTTACTTAAACCACTTGAAGCCAAATCTGGGTGAAAATTGGTAATTTTCAGGAAATAGGGATGCAGGATGCTATAATCCCTGATATGATGAAGGAAATCTGGGATATGAAATAGCAAAACCCTGCTTGCAGGTGTGTGCTGTGCGTGTGTTCACAGAAATAGGGTGGGTTGGGCTTTTTATCCTTTATTTTATAAAGAAGCCAGCATAGCACTCGCAGCCTGGTAACGCGCTTGCGCACTCGCCTCATCCCTTTCTCCTCATGCTATCAAAATCAATGTGTTTTAAAACTACATTGTGGCAGTGGGTGGTTCAGTTTTGCCAGGAAAATTGGGGATAAATGAGAATATTAGCATACAGCCTTTTTTTTTTTTTTTAATATATATTTCACCTGTGCTGCATGACCTGGAGAAATCCTCGCTTGGGCTGTTCATTTTATAATCCCTGCTGGTTTTTGCCTCTCCCAGAATCAGCAGTATCAGACCACTTTTCATGGAAGAGATATAATTTTTTTTTTAGGCTGTGTCAAAGGAACATGCAGAAAATAGGTCTGAACGCTCTGTGGGGAAGAACAATACTGCAGGGAGCTGGCTGGGATGTGACTGCTGTTAACCTGGGATCCAAAAGAAAAAAAAAAACCCCAGTTTTCCTACAGCTCTTTCTATCTTATTTCAGAAATCCATCACCAGCACCCAACCTTGCTCCCAGCACCTTTTTGAGCCCCTTTGTCATCCCAGTTTCCTTGCACCACACTACAAATCTTCCATTTCCAAATAAACCTGCAAAAAGGTTGGTGTTTTTTTCCATGAAGCAACACTTTAACCACTGTTTTAAAACCACTGTGCCTGGCAGCTCCTTCTTCAATTTAAAACCTCTTTTTAAAAACCAGGCAGTCCTTTGAGTCGTAAAAAGATAACCTTTAGGCTTTTTTTATGGGACACATGGTTGTATTCCTGGGAGCAAGTTGGCCTCGCAGCAGAGCAAGAGATCGGATGCCTTTGCTGGGAAAGCCCAAGGAAATTTTATCCGCGGGCCGCACCCAGCCTGAAGTGAGGAAATATTTGCATTTGCTGCTCCTTGGAAGGCAGCCAGGTCCTTCCCGCTCTCCTCAGCCTGCCAAGAGGGATTGCAAGAGCTGATTGCAGCAGCCAAGGGAAGGGCTGGAGCCATCCGGAGCACTGCCATCCTCTCTGCCCTTTGCCACTGCCACAGGGACAAGAGGAGGGACTTGGAGTGGGGTTTACACCTGGGTGGTCCAAGGTGGGCCCAGCCCCCTAAAATGTTATTGTTCGAGGCAGGATGTGTGATTGGTTTATTTCTGCGGACCTGGGTGCTTGCAGAAGTGCTCGTGACGGGGTGAGGAGCCCAAGGACAGGCCGAGCCACTGCAGATGATCTGGGTTTGCTCGGCAGCAGGACAGGATCCAGCTCCTGCAGGATCTCCTGCATGAGGCTCAGAATTCCTCGAGCTCCTCCCAAGGGAAAACACGGGGCTGTGCTTTTCAGGCAAAGCAATGCTCCCCATGCCTCAGCTCATAGTGCTCCTCCCTTTATTCAGGACGAAAATGCTTTAAATCAGCCTTTTTGTCCTCTTACCTATGTCCATGTATCCCTGTTCCTTGTCACCCTCCACTCCTGAAATACCACATCAAATCTGACCACACCACATCCCTTCACCATGCTGCCAAACTCTCCAGTGGTGCCTTTCCTTTCTCCTTGCTTTCCAGGACCTTCTCCAAGGCTGCCTGTAAATAAAAGCATTTCCCTGCCTGTCTGCAGCCAAAAATTCTGCAGTCCCAGTGCCAACAGCCCATCCTGGAAGGCTCCAAGAGGGAAATACCCAACTCCTTCCCACCATTCCTCTGTGGAAGGGTAGTGCAACTTGCAATAACACATCCAAAACACTCAGCATTGCACTTCCACCCTCCCCAAAAACCTTGAGTGGAAAAATATCCATATTACAAAATGCAAGCAGCCCTTTGCCCTCTGGGCCTTCTTTTTTCTGCTCCCTTTGGCCACTGCCACATCCTTTTACTTTTTTAGCATTATTTTGATGCCAGATTTTCCTCACAGTGCAAGAAGCTTTGGAAAGTGAGAGCTGACTTGGAGCACAGGAATTCCTTGGCATGGAACAAGGAGTTCCCACCCAACTGGACCCAAAGCCACCAACTTACGTGACTGGGACAGACCACAACTTATTTATAAATACCTTTAAAGCAAGTTGTGACCTGATTGATGGCCCAGAGATGCTCATTAACAAACACTGAGTAATCAGGTTTGTAGACAGGGAAGAGTCACCAGGAAATAGTTATTGATGTGATTAATTAACCATCATTAACCCCTTCACTCATAAACAAAGCACATGCTGGAGATGTTGTATGTGATCTGGGAGCTGCTAGCCTGGTGGTTGTTTTCTTTGTTTACAGCTCCCATTTTCCATCAGGAAAGCATTAAACATCATCTCACATGCTCTTGCTATTTTCTGCTCTTGATTTGTGGTTTTTTAAACACTTTCGGTTAAAAAGAAAGTTAAAAAGTTTCTCCGCCTGGTTTGCAACGCCCTCACAAAAAAAACCACTAAGCACTGGCAACATCGGCTGCGCAGATGTTGGACACACAGAGAAATGGTCTCATTTCTGCTGTTTTGAGGCCTGGACTGAGAGGAGATCAAAAAGCTTCCACTGGCAGAGCGCTATAATCTCGGATAATACGCAGAAAGCGGGCTGTCCGTCTTTCCCAGTGTCCCGGCCCTGCGGGATGCTTTTAGTTGGAGCTCTGCTGCCTGATGGAGGAATCTGTGCTCCGGCTGCCCTCTGCCGGCTCCGGGATAGATAGTCAGCAAAAAAAATCCCAAACCACACCAAAACCCCTTTTATCAACTCCATGAAACATCGCCAGATCCCATATACACCCCAAAAATTAACACTCGGCTCCCTCTCGGGTGACAGCAGCATCTGCAACATCGCTACACTCTAAAATCAACTTTTATGGACCAATTCTCGCACGACTAGAAAATCCAAAATCGGCTTTTTTTCCTTATTTTTAAAGTTGGATTTGATAGGTTTGGAATGCAGGGTGGATGAAAGGAATGAGAGTTTTTAAACTCGGGGTTTTATTTAACTGTGATTAACTAAATCAGTGCCCGCTCTCCACAGAGAGAAACATTTCAGTGAAACCCCAAGGAAGCTCGAGAAGAAAGAAACACCACCCAAGAAAACCAAACTGGCCTTTGGAAAAAGGAGTTAAAAAAAAGAAATAAGGAATAAAACCTCCACTCCTCATTACTGCTCTGTCAGGGCATTTTATATTCGTTATGAGTGCAGAGCTGTGCTGGGACATATCCACGATTTTTCATCCCGCCAGCCCACTGGGTCAGGGTCCTGGGGACATTTTGGTGATGAAAACCCAGTTCTGCAGTAATTTGGGGGTGCAGCAGGCACCCAGGGTCAGCCATGGGGCTCATCCCACTGTGGGCACCCCCTTTTTGTTGCCTGGCACTGGAAGGGGGTGATGAGTTGCAGGGTCTCAGCAGGATGACTCGTTGCGCCAGTGGATGTGGCAGGACTTGCAGAGGAGGTGGTTGTCCAGGGGGTAGCACCCGTTCTCTGTCAGCTCCGGCGACAGGGGCATCCTGCAGCTCTGGGGGCAAGAGGGGAAAAGGAAGCCACCTTTTAGGGGTCCCTGTATGTGTCACATACTATTTTCCCTGCAAAACCCACCAGCACTCCAAAAAAGTGACAAACTACATCAAAAGCATGCAAAGCTGAAGTTCTCCAAACACATCATTGTCTCACCACCACCCAATTTATTTATTTTCCCCATCCCCATTATTTGTAAGGTAAACTGGGGTCTAAAAACCAGCTGTGGGTGCTGCCATCCCTGTGTCCATGTTCAGCCAAGGCTCAGTGCCACCCAGCCCCTGGGGCCATACCTCGCAGCGGTAGCAGCTCTCGTGGAAGCTGCGTCCCAGGCACTCGATCTTGTAGGTGTCCTCGTCCTCACAGGGGACAATGGGGCGCTCGCAGGCGCTGCACACCGCAGCATATTTCCTGATGGAAGCCAACGGGGGCAGTGTGAGCCCCACGGGGTGACGGGGACGAGCCAAACCCAGCTCCCAGCGTGGGACACCCTTCCCCATGGCCAACCTGTAGTAGTCGGGCACGCAGTACACGTCACCCTGCTCGTCCACGGCGAAGCTCTCCGTGCCGATGGCCCGGCCACAGGCAGCGCAGGAGAAGCAGCTGGGGTGGTAGCCCTTGCCCAGAGCATGGACAATGTGCTCTGTGATCAGCCCCTGGCACTTGGCACATTTCTCCAGCGTGGCCTGGAATTTAGGGAACACGCGCCATGAGACACCAGCCCGCGCCCCAACATTCTGAGGGTGCTGGTTTTCCCCAAAGGAGGACGGGTACCTGGAAGCAGGTGTCACACGTGGGGCACCCATCTCTCTGGAAGTAGCGCTGCCCAGCCAGGAGTCGGTGGCATGTGCGGCAGGTGAAGCAGTCAGGGTGGTACTGCTTCCGCATTGCCTCCACCGTCGGCTCCCGGGGCCCCAGCGCTTTGTGGCAGAAGGCACAGATGTCTGCAAGAAGCAGGGAGAGTGGCTGGGAGCTGTGTGCCTCAGTTTCCCTAAGTGGGGATGAGCCCATGCACAGCTGGGTCTCCCTTACCTCTGGAGCTGTCCCTCCCCGGGTCACCATTCACATCCTGCCACTGCCGCTTGCCTGCTTGCTCCTGGGAAAATGTGGGTGGCTTCAATTCAGCAGGGAAGGTGGAAGGGGCCTGGCAAGTGGGGAAGGGCAAAGCCATGTTAGTTATACCCTGCAGGTGGGGAAACTGAGGCACTGGGGGGGACTGCACTCTGTTATCCTCACCTGGAGGGTGGAAGGTGCTGCAAGGTCCAGTTGCTGCAGTGCCAGACCCAGCGGCTCCACGGACAAGGGCTGGGGCACTTCAGAGAGGGGCAGGACTGGTGGGGATGCAGGTACAGGGGCCACCAGGTGGGTTTCTGCAGCAACAGACAGATGTGGGGGGTTCAGGGGATCAATATTGTCCAGTAACATCCCATCACAATAACGCCCTGTCACAATAACGCCCCAACAGCTTTGCAGCAGCGCTCGCTGACCTGCCCCAAAAGCAAACGCCATTGAAGCAAGAGGGGACAAACAGCACCGATAAGCACCCAGCAATGGAGAGCAAACACAGCCCGTCCCCAGAAGCCGGATCCATGCCAGGATGTGTGCAGGGATTGGGGGAATAGCCCCCTAAAAAATACCTCCACATCCCCTTCCTCACATGCATCCTTTAGCAAAGCGTCTCCACAGCCTCCTCAGCCCCATCACCATCCTTCCACACTGCTCCAGCCCCCATGGACACCCCTCACCTCCGTTGGGCAACGTGGGGGGTGACAGCAGGATCTGGGGCTGATGGGTGCCAGGGACCTCGGCACCACCTGGCTGCGGCTCCCGTTGGGTTTTCTCCTTGGTGGCCACATCCCTCCGTGGTGGCACGAGGGTGATGAAGATGGATGAAGCAATTCTTTTCTCTGCTTTCCCTGGCAACATCGCTGAAGCCGTGGAAGGGCCAGATCAGGGGTTGATTCTAGGGAAAATAAGAAAGAAAGAGAGTAAAACTCTCAGGTACACTGGCAGCTCCTTCAGCTGTGCTGCCCTTCGGCATCAACCCGCCTCCCTCCTCCCGGAAAGGGAGAAGGAACGAGCGTCCCATCCCACGTCACAGCAATAAATGGTCTCGTGCCTGGGAGGACACAGGGTACAGAGTCCTGGCGAGGCAGCAGCTGATAGCTCCCATTTGCACACCTCTGTGGCCAAATCCCACCTTTTCATAAGCATTTGCATCCCCTGTATTTCCTCTTATTGCTCCCACCCACCTGGGATTAAACTCCCCGTGGGCAGCAGGAAGTACCTACCTTTCCTTTGAAAAAACAGGGCTGCTATAGGATTTTGCTTTTGCAACCCCTTTTTTGAAATCTTTCTATATCCCCACTCCCTCCCTCCTTACCCCCAATTCCCTGCTAATCACTTCCAGCTCTGCACATCCCCCCTTTTATTTTTCCAGGTGGGAAAACTGAGGTGCGGTGCTGTGAATCACCACATCCCTGACACTGACACATCCCCTGAGCAGCACCCAGCAGCACAGGCAGGATGCCGACCCCTAGAAACCCTGCTCAGGAAGGAAAAGGGCTGTTTATCCAGCTTCCCAAGGGGAAAAGCAGCTGGGGCGAAGCTTCCCCTTCCCAAATGGAATAAATTGGGAGGGGGGCGGGGATGAACTCTGCGGCTTTAGTCAGGGTGCTGTGTTGGTGAAGCAGAATTCACCCCTGAGGTAAATCAGCAGCTTGAAAAATACCTGTGTGATGAGTTCCCGGTCTCATGCGGCTCTGCTCCCCCAAAATTCCACTCATGGGGGTCAGCACATTTTTTGAGGGGCAGACAGACTCCCCGAGGTGGGCGAAAAGCTTCGAGATATTCCTGCCGATGACTTCAGCCTCTGACTCAAGCAGGGAAGGGATTAAAGAGGAAAAAGAACCCGGAGCACTTCGCTCCCTCTTTCCCTCCCTCCCCGCCGGCTACCGGCCTTCGCCCAGCTCCTCACCCGCCGGAGCCCCCGCTTTTCCTCCTCCCTAGCAGAGCTGCGAAAACTGGGGGAAAAAGAAAAGATCATTAAAAAAAGAAAAAAGAAAAAAGCAACCTAAAAAAGAAAAAAAAAATCCCCGGGGTTAATGGGAACCATGTGCTCATCGCATTCCTCTTTGTGCCGGGGCTGCCGGGATCCCGGCGGCCCTGTGGCGGCACCCCCGAGATCCCCCTGGCCCGGGGCCATCGGGTGGCCGAGGCTCGAGGGGTGCTTTAATGGGGGTATCCCCTCCCCATGCAGCTCCATCCTGGTTTGGGGTGGCCGAAGCCACACTGGAAAGGAACCCCCCTGGTTTCCCTGAAATCTCCTGGGATGGAAGCTCAGGTGGGATTGGGAGGATAGGGCCGCTTTTGGGGTATCCCCACAACTCCCAAAACTGGGATGGTACACAGCCCTCTAGAGCTGCGCCTCAACTCTGTCCCCTGCCCCAGGGACCTCTCAGAGGGGTGCTCCGAGGACTCCCAAGGAAAAAGGGATGAGATGGGGGTACACAAGGCTTGGTGTTCCATCTTCCCCCACCCCGAGTGGTCCCACTGTCCTCTTGTCCCTCACCTGGGGTGAGGCCTTGCAGCCCCCGGCATCCCCTGTATCTCACCGTGCAGCCCCACACCTCCCTGTCCCCTAGCTGGCAGTGCCCCGTCCCCTGTGAAGCAGTGGCCCCACCGTATCCCCCTGCCTGGGAACCCCCATTCCCTCCCAGGGAGAGTCCCCGGTCCCCTCCTGGGGGGTGGCTCTTGGTCCCCTTGTCTCATCCCGGGATGACTGCGGTCCTTATCCCATCACGTGAGGGGTCCCGTGTCCCATATTGGGGTGTCCCCTGTCCCCTCCTGGGGGGATGTCCCAATCCCACACCTGGGGTGGTCCCTACCTGAGGGTGGCCCGTGTTCCCTACCTGGGGCGATCGTACCTTGCGGGCGAGGTTCTCTGCCGGGTAGGAGAGGTGTCGCCTGCCCGGAGGTGGCCCTGCAGCCTCACGGGGGGTGACCCTGTCCCCGTCCCTGTCCCCTACCTGGGGAGCCGGTGCGGGTCCCTCCGTGCGCTCCGCGGGCGCGGCGGGGGCAGCGGGAAGGCAGAGCCGCCCGGCATCACCGCCCCTTCCTCCCTCCTCCTCCTCCTCTTCCACCTCTCTTCCTCCTCCCCCCTGCCTGCCCCACAGCCCCGGGCGGAGGAAGAGGGGGGCACGTGTCCTTAGGGTGCCCCATTAACGCCCCGACTGCCCCACGCTCCCCAAAGTGCTCCATGGGTGCCCCGTCTACCCCAGGGTGACCCATGGCCCCGTGGGTGACCTATATGCTCTGGGATCGCCCCCTCACAGGTTTTCCCATGGACCCCCACAGACCCTCAGGGCACTCAACCCCAAGGGGTGCCCCGTGAGCCCCCCATACACTCCGGGGTGCCTGTGTACCCCAATACAGCTGTAATAGCTCCATATACCCCCAGGATAACCCCTATGCTCCAATACAGCCCCAGTCACCCCCATACTGCTCCATCCCCAAAATGCCCCATATTTCTTCTCTGTCCCCCCAGGACACCCATGTGCCCCCCTAGAGCCCCGTAAATCCCTATAGAGCCCCCGGTGCTCCAAACACCCCCAGACCCCCTCCTGCTCCCCCCTACCCCTGCACTGGGAGACCAAGCCCAGGCAGCCAGAACCCCCCCTCCCCACACTGCACCCCACCTTCACAGGGCCTGTTGTCCCCTGCCACAGCACAGCGGGCTGCAGGCAGGGTGAAACTGAGGCACCTCCCAGCCAGAGGGTCACCCCACTCTGTGCCTCAGTTTCCCTTCCCAAGGAGGAATTCTACCCACTTCCCTCAAAAAGCTGCACCGCCAATATCCCTTTTCAGCACAATGGGACCCCAGCTTGCTCTGCCCATAGATTTTGCTGATAAAAAGCCTTTATTTTCTGAGATTTCTAACCCCCTGGAGGCCCCTGACAGTGTGGCCCAGCTGCCAGCAACGATGGGACATCCATCAGCATTCTGCAGTCCCACTGGGACCAGAGAACAAACCCCAGCAGTGCTGCAACCTCACGAGGTTCCCCCAAAAACCAGAGGCAACACAAGCCCTCCCCCGACCTCCTCCATCCCATAGGATGGGGTTGGCTGCCTTCCAGGAGCCTTTTTCCTTGGTCCCCATGGGGGATGTGTGCTGGGGGACTCTGGTGTGCCCAGCGAAGCCACCCGGAGTTTCTGCTGTCCGGTTCCACCCTGAGGCTCATCGGGACGTCTCCCCCGATCCGGATCCCGACAGACTGTCCACGCCAGGCTGCTGGGCAGAATCCTGTGCGGGACGGAAGAGAGGAGCCCAAAGGCCCGTCACCGCGGCCCCGGGGCTGCTGCCCGCCCTCACCCCGCGTGGCACGGGGTGTCCCGCTCTCACCTGCCTGCAGCAGGACTCCAGCAGCACCCCGGAGCGGAGCAGGCACCAGAGCTCTCCCAGCAGCGACACGAAGACGTGCAGGATGTCGGTCCATCGGCCCACGGTGAGGAGGAGGATGAAGAGGCCGCCCATCCGCACCACGATGGTCCGGAACGCCGGCCCCCTGCCCGTGCTCTGCCGGGACCCCTCTGCGAGGGCACGGCATTGGGGAGCCACCGCGGGGACACCGGGACCTCCGCAGCCCCACAATGGGGACACCAAGCATGGGGTGGCTTCACACATAGCCCATATAGCCCCTATACACCCCCAGTACATCCCATGTACCCCCTCTACAGTCCCAGGGTGCCCCAGGTACCCCCAGGACGTCCCATGTACTCTCTGTACACCCCAGTACCCTCTGTGTACACCCGGGATATATACACACACCCCCTACAGACCCCCAGGATGCCCCACATACCCCTATACACCCCCAGAATGTACCATATACCCCCTTACAGACCCCCAGGATGCCCCACATACCCCTGTACACCCCCAGAATGTACCATATACTGCCTACAGACCCCCAGGTCATCCCATATACCCTTATACACCCCCAGAATGTACCATATACCCACTTACAGACCCGCAGGATGCCCCATAAACCCCTATACACCCACAGAATGTACCATATAGCCCCTTACAGACCCCCAGGACACCTCACATACCCCTGTACACCCCCAGCCTGTACTATATATACCACCTATACAGCCTCAGGACCCCCTGCACATTCCATATACTCTGCATACACCCCCAGGACCCCTCCCATCTGCCCCTACACAGCCCCAGGTGGCCCCCAGTGCCCCACACACGCCCCGTTGCACCCCCAACGCCCCGTCAGAGCCCCCCGTACCCTGCATGTAGACAACCAGCAGGGTGTAGCAGATGCTCAGCGGGGTCCAGAAGCGCACGGCCTCGCCCGTGGAGAGGAAGTCGCGGTTGATGAGCTGCACGGCGGCCAGGTCGGCCACGGCGAAGGTGAGGGCCAGGGCGTTGCGCAGCAGGCGCGGGATGCCGTGCCCCGCGGCCAGCAGCAGCATGCAGACGCCGCAGTAGCGCTGCCGGCTGTGCAGCTCGTACAGGGCGCGGACGTGCCGGGCCAGGCGCCGGGCGTGCAGCGCCAGCAGCCCCGCCAGCCCCGCCGCCAGAGCCAGGTTGCAGCTGCGGTGCGGAGCCCCCTCCAGCAGGAAGGTGAGGCCGCAGGACACCCCGCAGCCCAGCGAGTACTGGCACAGCAGGTAGAGCTGGCTGCTGTGCGCGCCCTGCAATGCAGCGGGGGGGCCATGGAATCATGGAATCGGTGAGGCTGGAAAAGACCTCCAAGATAACGAGCCCAACTGTTCCCCCAGCACTGCTGAGTTCACCTCTAATCATGTCCCCAAGTGCCTCATCCAAACACTTGTTGAATCCTTCCTGGGACCATGACTCCAGCACTGCCCTTGGTAGTCTGTGCTTCAGCACCCTTCCCACAAAGGATTTTTCCCAATATTCAATCTAAACCTTTCCTGGCCCAGTCTGAGGCTGTTCCCTCTCCTCCTGTCCCTGTTCCCTGGGAGCAGAGCCTGAACCCCCTGGCTGTCTCCTCCTGTCAGGAGCTGTGCAGAGCCACAAGGTCCCTCCTGAGCCTCCTTTTCTCCAGCCTGAGCCCATTTCCAGCTCCCTCAGCCCCTCTTGGTGCTCCAGCCCCTTCCCCAGCTCTTTTTCCATCTCTGGACACACTCCATCCCCTCAGTGTCCTTGCCACAGAGGTCCCAGAACTGTCCCAGAATTGGAGGTGTCCCAGCAGTGCCAGCACAGGGGACAGGCACTGCCCTGGGCCTGTGCCCACTTAGACTCTTGCCCACCTGGGGACACCTGGCTGAGGTGCAGAGGGACCCATGGCCCCCTCCACCCACAGCCCCTCCATTGGGTGCTGAGCAAGCCCCCAGTTTCCCAGCTCTATTCACACCATTCCCCACAGTGCCTCAGTTTCCCCCATGCTGTCTCACCTTGCCAAGGGAGAGGATGGTGGAGACAGCACGCAGGGAGAACTCCAGCACCACCAGCGCGGCCACGCGGGAGCCCACCAGGGCCAGGACTGCGGTCAGCACCAGCACATGCAGCGGCTCCAGCAGCGGCCGCCGCGCCGCGATCGCCTCCTTCTCTGCCTGCCTCTCGGGGTTACTGGGGACAGCAGGGGGATGTCACCCAAAATGGGGTGACAAGCCTTAGTGACATCCCCCTCCGTGCTGTACAGCAGAGGCTGCAGCCCCTGCCCTGCACACCTTGGTGCCAAGAGCCACGGCCCAACAGCAGATCCCAAAATCCCCAAAAACAGCCTTTCCCCCCAGAGGGGACAAAGGGCTGGCGCTTACTTTGCACACTGGATGTAGAGATAAACCTTCAGGAGGCTGCAGAGCACCGAGACAGCGCAGGCACCCACCAGCCCTGTGGGGAAAGGCAGCAGTGGGTCACTGGTGTCCCCTGGGCTGTCCCACACCACCCTCAGGGATCTCACCTTGCAGGAGCGCATCCAGCAGTGCCCAGCCCCACGCCAGCCCGGGCAACGCTGGGAGCCAGGACCCCAGGGAAAACATTTTCGATAGAGAGGAGCCACAAGTGTAGCCAGGCCCCGGCTCCAAGGTCCGCGGGGTGGAGGCGGGGAGTGGCTCCCCCCGGCTAGTAAATCATTATTGGGGCAAGCCAGGGCAGCTGGAGCCCCGGCCAGACAAGATGAACTCCAGCTGCCCCTTGGAGGTGAAAATTAGGAGAAGAGGGATGTGATGCACATGGAGGGGCTCAGGGACCACCAGAACCTTTAACCTCCCCCCATGCCGGCATTGCCATTCTCCTCTCCACCCTGAGGCATCGCAGCATTTCAGGTCCTGCCCCGCCCCAAAGACCCCAAGACAACACAAAAAATAGAAAAACCTCTTTATTAACATCGGTGGTGGTGGCAGGAGTCTGTCCTGCAGCCCTGGGGGCTGCTAGTGCTGAACCATGTTCCTGAGCTTATCCCAAAAGAAGAGGCTGAGGACGGTGTGGGGGCCGAGGCGGAGGTAGACGGCGCCGATGCCCTTGTACAAGCCCAGCAGCCCCTCTTTGCTGGAGATTTGCAGGATACAATCCAAAAAACCTCGGTAGAGCTTGCCCTGGGGAGAGAGGAACCAGCTCTGCACCCCTGCCGGATGGGAAAAGCCCTGTGTCCCCTGTGCTGTATCTGGAACGACCTTACCGTGCCATCGGCGTCCACTGGCTGGTTGTAGAGGCGCGTGCTGATCACGTCAAAAGGTGTCATTGTCACAGCCACAGCCACACCACTCACCATGCCCCCCGCCAGCACGGCCGCCCAGCTGCCCTTCCTGAACCACTGCGGGAAGCGCCAGCATCAGCTCTTCCCAACAATGCACGGGAGCACGGGGGGCCGGTGGCGGCCGGCTCCGGCACACGTTCCGCTCACCTGGCGCTCGCAGACCCAGTCCTTGGCGGAGGCGAAGGTGGCGAGCTGCACGGCCGAGCCCACGGCCACGCGGGGCACGGCGCCCGTCACCCCCCGCCACAGCCCCACCACCCCGTGCTGCTGGTAGATGCTCTTGAAAGCACTGGAGATGCTCTGGGGAAGAGAGGAAATTGGGGAAAATGGGAAAAATGGGAATGATGCATCCCACCTGGCCAAAATTTCCCACCCTGGCAAAATACCCCATCCCTGCTGGTCCTTGGTGACACAAAGCCACTATTGGCTTTGGAGAGATCTCAGGGGGTCTGGATTCTCTGGATTTGGTATTGCAATCCCACGTGCCTGTCACACCCCCTCTGTTCTTGCACTGTTATTTTTAGCATCATTACGGGGCCAAGCAGCCAAACAACAGCTTTAAATTCCTGCTGACCAAAATAGCATGGTCCCCGCTGGGGCCCGGAGCGTGCACGGACAAGGTGTCACCAAACCCTCTGTGTCCCCCCACCCCAACCTTGTCCCCACTCACCTCATGGTTGTGCTGGTGGCCCACGGCCATGGCCGACACTGTCTGGGCTTGTAGGTGGGTCTTGACCTTGGGGGGGACAATGCCAGGTGACAAAACCCTCCAATGCCCCCGCTGGGACTGGCTGTTGTCCCCCCATCTTCTTGGCAGATTTTGAGGGGACGTTTCAGCCCCTCTGACAGACATGGGGGACACAGCTGGGTAGCCAAGTGGTAGCTCCAGATTTTGAATCCCGTTCCTTTTACCCCTCCCTCCCAGGGCAAAGGGACCCTGCAAACACTCACTGCTGAAGCTCTGCAACCCCAAAAACCGGGGAAACCCTCTAAAATGGGAGGGGGGGGGGAACCCCTGCAATTTCTTTTAGGTTAATTTCCTTTTGGGGGAGTTCTCTGCTGGTTTCCTGAGGGGGATTTGGGGGAGAAAGCAGGGGGAGAGCATGCACAGCGCAGCCCTACTTTTTTTTTTTTTTTTTTTTTGGGGGGGGGGGGGGGGGGCAGGGGAAGAGAGAATGCGCCAAGCCAGTGTTTATAGGATGCAGCCAAGATGCCGAACCTTTTCGGGGGTACCCAAAACAGCCCCCTCCACACCCCACGGCCTCTGGAGCGGAGCAGCACTCACCAGGTACGCGGGGCTGCCCACGATGGCTCCCACCGCCCCGGCCACGGCCCCGGCGGCCACGGTCCCGCCGGGATACCCGGTCCAGCCGGCGTCCTCGGCGTGGGAATAGCAGTAGAAGCGGACGCCGTTCATGAGCCCCTGGTAGAGCAGCCCGGCCGCCAGTCCCTTCTGCAGCCCCCGCAGCCCGTCCGCCCGGCACACGGCCACGGCCGCCCGCAGCACCCCGCGGTAGGGCCGGGGGTACGTGCCCGGGGGCTGCAGCTCGCCCTGCAGCTGCAGCCGCGTCTTCACCACCTCCAGCGGGTTGGTGAGGAAGCAGGCCAAGCACCCGGCCGTGGCCCCCAGCACCAGGTCGGTGGCCGGGGGCACCCCCCCGGCCGGGGGGCTGTTTTGGGGGGGGTACTGGAATTCCTGCAGGGAGTCGGGAGGGCGGGGGGCGAGGGTCCCCGCCGCCATCCGGCACCTGCCCGCGGGGGTGGCCCCAGGCTCCACCTCCCCGAACAACCGCAGGGAAAAAAAATCCGGGGGGAGCGAGAGCGAGCGAGCGCCGCCTCCTGCAAACCAACCCCCCCCAATTCCAGCCCCCAATTTGGGGAAGGGATGTGGGGCAAAGGTCGGGCCTGGGGGTGCGTGGCCGGCCCCCCCCGACACCGGCGCGCCCCCGGCAGCCGCGTCCAGCCGGGCCCGGTCTCACGTGATGGTGCTGCCCCGGCGCAAACAGGGAAAAGCAGGCAAAAAAAGGGCGGGTAGCATTGGAACAGAAACGGAGGGAGAGGAATTTTGTGGGGCGCACGCAGTCACCCCCCCCGCCCCAGCCAGCATGGGGAGCAGGATGAGGACTGGAAAGCTCGCTGCGCTTGTGGCCGCGGTGGGGGGGGAGGTCTTGCAGAGGGTCTCGTCTGCCTCTCCCGGTGCTTTGAAATTGGAGCTTCGCGCGGAAAAATGCTCCCGGGGGTGGGGATGTCGGTGTCCCGCCCCCCGCCGTCGATTCCTAATTTTAGGGCTGCGCAGGGACCCCCATGGCCGAGGCACTGCGGTGGTAACTGAGGGGCAGGACGTGTGAAGCCCCCATATCCCAGACTCCTCCCCTGCCAGTGACTGTCCCAGTATCCCCCAACACTTTCGCTTCGATGTCAGAAGTCAAGGAGGGTTATGGGGACAGTGGATGATGCTGGGGGCTGGCCCCATGGCTGTTTCTCTCTTTTCTAGACTGGACTAGATCTCCTGAATCCAGGGGACTGGGAATATCGCCTGGATCCAGGGATAAGCAAGGACAAAGCATGAAGATCTGTGTCCTGATGGGTAACTCCCAGTCGAAGCCACAAACGTGTCCCACTGCAGGGTTAACGCTGTTGAGGAGCTCGAGGTGCATGTCCTCCCCTCTTTTCATCCCCTTCTCCCTGCCCAGAGCCGTCCCACAGGCTCCAAAGTGACTGCAGGAGGCAGGAGGAGCAGCAGCCCCAGTGGCAGAATCTGGCGTGGGGCCAAGGCTGAGTTACCAAGGTCTGTTTATTTGGGGAGGGGGGAAAGGAAGCAAATGTATGTACATATACATTCAGTCACATATGTTTCCTCCCAGAAAAAGGCCCCGTGAACTTATATTACATGAGAAGGTCTCCAGGTTATTATTATTGTTATTAATATTATTTAAAAGCTGGGGTTGTGCCCCAAAGTGCTCGTTGTGGAGCGCAAGTGGCGATGGGTCCTCGTTGGCCTCAGATGCAGTGAGCCGAGGAGATGGGGACATGTTTGGTGGCAGCCACATGACAATGTCCCTCAGGACACCTGAAGAACATGGGACTCCATCTCTTCTCCCTCAATGCACAGGGTCAGCATTAAAACCACAAACCGGCTCCTGAGATCTCCTAAAACCATGTTTAAGCCAAATATTTGGCCTTGTTCCTTCTTCCTTAGCCTCAAATCTCCTGCACAGGCTGAGTGGTCCAATGGAGTCCGGAGGCCCCGGGCGAGCTCTCCCGGAGGAGGAGGCGGGGTGGTGCCGACTCCTCCTCCCAACACAGCGGTGATTGTATGAGCAACAAAACATGCACGGTAGGGATTGAGCGTTCCCGCCTCGCCCCGACCCTGTTCGAAAATGAACAAGTCCTCAGTCCTGCTCCCCACCAGAACGGCGATGCTTGTCCCAGCCCACCCTGCTCCCACCCGCTCCCTCACTACTGCTGGGACATTATTCTGTAAAAGGCAAATTATTTGCCCCGTGGCAGCTGGACAAGGAGGAAGGTGCAGGTGGTGAAGCGTCTGGCTGCTCCCCAAACCACACTGGATGTTCCTGGTTGGTGGAGAGCGCGGGGTCCACGCTGCAGGCATGGCCCTGGTGGGGACCAAGCGATGGCAGGAGGGTTTGGGGTGCCAGCTGCCCAGATACAGGCCCTGATCCCCAAAAATGGGCCCCTGTGAGCTGTCCTCCCCTGGGCAGGGTTAGCACCAGGGGTCCCGCTCGGCCCGTCCCCGGCAGAGGCTGTCGCTGCGCTGCCAGGCGCTGTTGATGAGGCTCTGGGCATCCTCACATTTCTTCTTCACAGCAGCATCCAGAATGGCCTTGTGCTGGAGATCGACCTGAAACATGGGTGTGGGGTGGCAGGAGGGGAACAGACAACAGTCACTTCTCCCTCTCACTGTAAAACCACCTCAAACCCACATGGGCAAGCCACCTGTGTCATGGAAATGGTGACAGCGGGGCTGACCCACATTCCTCCCACTCCCCTTGCCAGTACTGGGTGCTCATGGCTTGTCTTGCCAGCCTCTAAATCCCACATCCTGTGATTATATGGAGCCAGAGGAGCTCTCTGGCTCTCCTGCCCTTTGTGGGAAATCTGGGTTCACCCTACAGGGACAAACTCATCCCTCTGCCCACCCTCGTTCAATGAGGGTGTGAGGCAGCCCCACATGCTCACCTGGTAGATGTTCCTCCACGCGACATTCAGTGCTGACAGGAACCTCTCCAGTTCCGTAGTGCAACTAAAATAAAGGACCCAGGGGGGCAGGAACTCCTTGCTGTCCTGAGCAAACTCCTGAACACCGAGAGAGAGGCCAGGTGTCAGCACTGGGAGTTTGCCCAGCCCTGGGCCAGCAGGTCCCAAAGCCCTGCCCTCACCAGGATGCAGTACTCCTTGCCAGCCTCCGTGGAGACAGCGGTGATGTCGGTCAGCTCCGCAGTGCCCAGCGAGCGGAAGAAGCTGGTCTGGCAGTCCTCGTGGCACGTGAAAGCTTTCTCGTCCGTCAGCACCAGGCAGCAGGGAACGCACGGCGTCGGGGCGACACCCTGGGGGATCACCTGGAGTGGGGAAGGGGGGTAAAACCTAGCATGATGGAGCCCCATCTCCATGGGGTGCCCTGTGGGGAAACCCTCCTGGCTCAGGATAAAGCTGCCTGCTCCATCCTGCCAGACATTCCTGCTCCCTTCGGCAGCACCAAAGGGGCTCTGGGCAAAGGAGGGGGCCGAAGCACCCACGCTTAGGGCCTGTCCCCAGCTCACCCCTTTGGAGACAGCCTGGCAGAAGTACTGCATCCAGTCTGCCATGTCCTCCTCGTTCTCAGCACTCAGCTCCAGGGAGGGCCGGTCCGTCAGGATCACCTGGAAGGAGTGGGGCCGGTCGGTGGTGTTGGAACGCCGGCATCCCCCACACTGCTCGCCGCTGGGAGAGAGGGGGAGGATGGAGATGAGTGGGATGGATGGGCCAGCACGAGCCTGAGAACAGCCTCTGACTGCCCTCCCTGGGCAGCACCTCACCCCAGCTCCCAACAAACTCTCATTCCCCATCCATGACATCCCCTGGGATTGCTCCCAGGACCATCTCCAGACTCTTCACATTGCAGGAGAGCGGGAGTTGATCACAGTGGGTCTCCCAGCAGGGCTCTTGGAGGGATGCATCACCCTTCAGAGGCCAAGGCCCCTTCCAAGGAAAGAAATGAGCCCGTTTCCAGTGGCATGCACTGGAGCCAAAACAAACTGACACCTGCCCCCCAGGCAGGAGCAGCCAGGATTCCTGCAGCATGGACCAGGCCATGATCCAGCCTGGAACCCCTCCAGGACATCCCAAGTAGCTCCTGCTCCCCAGATCCCCATGGAGTCTGGGTGCTGTGTCCTACCAGCCACTCACCCCATGTTGATGGAGAGCAGAGGGGTGACATCCGTGTGATCTGGGTACTGGTACAAGATCCCATTGCTGCCGTTTGGGAAGAAGAGAGAGGGGGTAACTGGAGTCAGCCCAGCTCTGGTATCCCCTGCCTTTGGTCCCACAGCCACCCCTGCCCTGCCCTCCACCCATGCAGCCCTGGGGGGTCACATTTCTGCTGCTGGGCACCCACAAACTGTGGCTTTAGCCACCAAACTGGTGCCTTGGCCCCTTTAGGTGGCAAGATGAGTCCTCTCCACCTCCCAGGCAGCTCTTGGACAGCAAACTGCTCCCAGCACCTTCTCCCAAGAGCCCTTCTGACCCCAGCCCTGTCCCACAGCCCCAGTGCCCACCTGAGCACCACGAAGCAGGGCTTCCACTGCTCCTTGCCCAGGTAGGAGGTGCCTGCCTTGTAGTGCAGGATGCCGTCCTTGGTGACGGCGTGTTCTGCAGAGGAGCTGCTGCTGGCGGGTCCCAGCGCCTCATCCATGGGGTCCTCCCAGTGAACGAGGCCATAGAAACGCACAACCACATTGCAGGCCTGTAAGAACCAGGAGAAGTCAAGGGAGTCTCTTGTGAGCCTTTGTCACCTGCAGTGATGGTAGTGACATCCAAACTCACCTCACACTTGGACTCCTGTGCCACAAACTTGGCAAGTGCCAGTTTCTCCATGGTGGCATCCGTGAGGATACTGGGATAAGGGGGCTCCCGGCACCCTTTGATCATGGCTGACTTCAAGGAGACCAGGAAGAACCTGAGAGGGAGACCGAGATCTCTGACAAGGCTGGGGCAAACAGCCCCTCATCTCCCTCATACACTCTGGTGCCTAAGGGGCTTCCCTTAACCGTGAGCCTCTGGTCTTCCAGACCAAAGAGCTGCAAAATCAACCCACGGACCAAAGGTGATAGGAGGCTGCAAAGTCTGAACTCCAGAAAGGAGATGGGTGACACCCGGAGGTGGTCACTCATCCCAGCACAGACCCCAGTATGGCTTGATGGTCACCTCTCTGAGCTGCCAGCACACACAGAGACCTGGGACATGCCTTGGAGCTCATCCCTACTCATGCCAAGTGACACAAGTGACATTTGGTCTGCATTGCCCAGAGTCCCAAAGCTCAGACTGAAGGATGGAGTAACTCTTGATCCAGGGAAGATACTCTGGTTGTATCCATGCCTGAGGCATTTACAGCTGTCAGCTGGGTTCAGCCAGTGGCATCAAACCAGCCCCCAACCCCCTCACGGGTGGCAGGACTGTCATGAAGGGCTGTCTCTGAAGTCTCCCACTGTCCCAAAGTCCAAGAATCCGAGTTCTGTGCTCCAGTTCCCCACTCACTCGGTGAGAGCCACGTCAGCAGTGTCGAGCAGGAACTGCTTCCTCCGGTTGGTGCACACCAGGGTCACTGTCTGCTGATCCAGCCCAACCTGTGCCACACAGCAATGGTTAGGGAAGCAGGCACAGGATGAGGGGCAACAGAGCAGGGCTGACTGGGCTTCTGGCCCCCGGGAGAGGGTCAGTGGTCACTCTGCTGCCCATGCAAAGACATGGGCACCCACAGAGGTGGCACTGGAAGGGGCATCACTGCCAGCTCTCCCAGTCTCAAAGGTTCACTGCCCAGAACACTCCCCATGTATACAAACACACCCTCAGCCCTGGACAGGTGAAAGCTGCCCCCCCAGCCAGGCTCACCGAGATGTAATCCAGCTCGTTGTAGGACACAGCCTCCTCCACCATGTATGGCTTCTCCGCTGCCCCTGGCACAGACAGAGAGAGCCACATGAAGGGGAGCACAGCATCCCCTCTGCAGCAGCAGTGACACCCCTGCAAACCGAGCCATGGCCCAGGCAGCACGGAGCCACGGGACACGTGTCCCAGGGCTCCTGGGGGACAAGTCAGTCTGAGCTCCCTGCTGTGACCACAGGACTCAAGGAAACTGGCAGTGAAGGCAATGATGGCCTAATCCATGGACAGGCCATGGATGGAGCCTCCCTCCCTGCCACTGAGCCCAGAGGCTGTTGGGATGAGATACCTTTCCGGATCAGGTACACGTAGCAATCTGTCAGCAGGACGTAGATCAGCTGCAGGTTCCCTTCCATGTGCCCCGTACTCATTCGGATCATCTGCATGGAAAGAAAGGAGCTCTCAGCCCTGGGCTGACGCAGGCACAGAGCTGATCTTTAATTGATGGAGACCCCTTACCCTAAACAACTGCTCCTCGTTCTCCCGAAATACATGGATCATCAGCAGGAGGAGATGGTTGTTATCCACCCTGTGGAGAGAGACAGCAGAGGATGGACATGGATGTGAGGCTGGGTGAGTCCAGGAAGGGCAGTCCCCTTCCTTGTTGAACATGTCCATGATTTGGGCACTTATTAGCTCCCCAAGACCTTCTCTTCCTGACCCTTTGTGCCTCCTCTTCATCCTGGAGAAGGGTGGGCTTTGCCCCCCAAACCGAGGACAAAGGGAAAGGCGGCAA